TAGTTACATTATTGGTTTGAGAGGTGTTTCTATTTAAAGTGACCAAATAGAATGGCTGGAGTGAAGTCTAGTGAGTACAGCACGGAAGTCAATCAGAGCCAACTGATAAATGTGCTGTATAGGATGGGTATCACCACCTATTTATATGCAGGTAGGGATGAACTGTGCAGTATTTGTAAAGCACTCTGGAATTATTTTTTTGATAAAGAATCCTATGTACATGAAAGAGATTATTATCATTTTTGTCACATTAAAAGATGTCATTGTTTTAAATTATTCCATTTAAATAAGTCTATGACAAGAAGATAGTAACCTCATATTAAAGATTAGAAAGTGACTTATTTTAGATTGCTGGAATTATGTCAAGTCTATGTGGATTGGTTTTCTTTAGATTTTTAAAAGAACCACACTTTCTTTTTAATAGAAGTATTATTTTGGGTAACCGAATGTCACAGGCCAGCTGGACATTGTGAGTGTATCAATTCTATCACAGGCCAACTGGGCTGTTAGGTTCAGTTTCCAATCGAGGAGGTAAAGTTGGAAGTGAAGTAAAGGCAAATTTATTATAGCTTACACACACACAACAGTTAACAGAAAGATAAATGCGATAAGCAAATAATGCAGTATTAAAAAGCTAATAGTAAATAATAACAACAGATGATAACAACAGATAGATCAATTCTGTTGCAGGCCAACTGGGCAATGCGAGAGTATTAGCCACTGGGCTGTTCAAAACAACAGACATGGGTTGGCAACTTATCGATAGTCCCTCAATGCCAGGTACGTGTCAAGTGATTTCAGCGAAGTCACGGGCGTCCCCGATCCCTGCTGTCAGAGGGATTACCAGGGAAGGTCCCATGATCAGGATCTGATCCTCACTCACACCGGGAGTCTGGGGTCCGGGCATGGAACAGAAAAGACCGTTCTGTTCCCTTCTTCCTGCTGGATCCTGCTGATGCACGTGCTTTTTATACCTAGTCTTATGCTAATCTGTTGGCTTTAGGGCCACTCACAATCTTGCTGTATAGCTGTTACCCTATGGGATTGAAAGGTGTTAAAAATTATCATAAAAGGTTACTACCTAGACTCGGGGTTATCCAATAAGCAAATTACAAAGCAGCACCTTTAGGTTTGAAATTAACATTGCTCCGCCTAAGCCCCAACCCCTTTTAAGTGTTTTTTTTAATATGCTTTCTTGGGATGTGCTTTCTTGGAATGTGTTGGGTGTGCCAGGCAGTTGGATCCAGTTTTTTTATCATTAAAGCTGAACCCTGAGCAGAAACTGTTGGGTCAGCTAATCTCGCAGCTACAGCTTTGCCTACGGGGCCCAGTCAGTTCCATGAATAGTTAATTTTATCATTTTGGTTAAATTTATGACAGAGAAGTTACATTTGTGGTTTACAAACTTACAAGCTTTATATTAACTAATATTACCTGTTTAGGTAACATACCAAATGCTTCTAAGAAGCACATATTTATTGCTTATTAATCCCTCTGGTTCTGGCCATCACAACCAAAGCACAAGTTCTGTCAACATTCACATACTCACCCACTCATTCTAGGAAACAGTGTTGCCGTTGTTTATAAATGCCTCTTAACATTTCCTGTTCTGATTGCCAATATCAGCCAGAGATCAGTCAGCAAGAGATACTCTTTAATTAAAGTCAGTAAACTTTTTCTATCAAGCTCAAGCACATCAGCTGTTGTGATGTGTGAGAGGTACTTACACACATATTTCATTCTTAACAAAAGTGCGTCAAAGATCCTCCTGCCAACCATCACACCCTTCCTGGTGCAATAATAAAAATCAATTCCTGGTTGGCAAGGAAGGATAGTCTTGAAATGGAAAGAGTGATGGGGAATAGCTGGGTGTTATCCTCTTCCTTCTGGCAGTATGGTCTTACAGGATGCTTTTTTTAAACTCCTCTCTCCTGGTGAGATCCACTTATTTTTTTAAGACCTGTATGGGCAAGAGTTTCTGGTAACTCTCACACTCAAGGTCCCTGTACAAAGATCTTTCAGCCTGATTTAACAAAACATACATTAAGAAACAGTGGGAGGGAAGTGGGAGTAAGTACAAGGGTAACAGCTCTAAATCTATTCCAGTATTTAAGACATTTTATAAGTACAGTTTATACAACTTAACCTGTCATTTATTTTTATTTATTTATATGAAGCAATTAATGTGCCCCAATACTAATAAAAATTGCTGGTTTTGTGTAGGATTTCATAGGATTTCTACAGAGGTAGCCCTAAAACTGACTGCTTACCAGGGGCTACAAATAAAGAGCTAAAACTATCCTGCACGCTGCCTCAGTTTACAGATCATGCATGCAGTGCTTCTCTGTAATTATATATCAGTGTATCCCTTCTGAATGCTACTTTATTGGCAATTGTCCCTTTCAGCATTGTTTGCTTGGAACATGCTGTATCCCAGAAGCAACACTCACACAAATATTTAGATAATTTTGGAAATGTCAGTGTAGGATAGCTTTAGACTAAGCCTTTGGGACTTTCTCAGCTTGTTCCCAGGCTGCTGTCCAATACTTTTTTGTTATGCTGCTATCTGTTCATCTCATCTGTATTTTCTGCCTTTTAAAAGAATTAGCATTTCCTCCCCCTTACAGCATAAGATGTGAGCATATTATATTAAGCCATCTCTGGCTCTTGGAGTAATAAAAAATGCAAGCTGTAAGAGTTGTTCATAATGTATGTTGTCTGCCTAGTGAACCACACTTAATTTTGCAGGACATTATTGCTGTCTCTTGATAAACCCGTGATTGGAAGTTTTATAAACTTAGAAATGTTACTCATTCATCGTATTTTAATGTATTGATCATGCATTAAATTTGAAACACAGTTGTGTTTTTATAGATGTCTTTCAAAGCCATTTTAAAAAGAGGCCATCAACAGCAGCTCATACACAAAAGAAATCAGGCAACATGCAGCCCAGGGCTGGACCTAGCATGCAACATCAGATTTGGCTTTCAGGAGCTGCCCACAGGCCCCACGTGGCAGTGGGACTGGCAGCAGGCTTAGCTCCCTAGAAGCTGCTACTTGGCTTCTGCAAGGAATATTTTTTTTTCATCATGTCTCTTAAAAGCAAGGTGGATGTCATATATAGGATTGTGGTGTGTATGACAGAACTTGCTAATTGTTCTTAGTAGTAAAAACAATAGAAAATGTGTTGCAGGGCACCGTTTTGGCAGAAGAATGGTGCACAAGGCACATGATAACAGTGGTGTAACTAGTGTGGGGTGACGGGGACAGCAGTCCTGGACACTGACTGGAGGTGGTGGGGCAGGGAAAAATAGCAACTGCTACCGCATCTGTGCAATCATGCTAGCAGCATGGTGTCACTGATGCCTCCATGCATCCTGCTACCCCAGCTAACTTGTTACACCTCTTCCTAATAAGTCTTATCTCTGATTCCCTGAGTCCCATTTAGAAAAGTGGCACCTAGTCTGTTTCCTTTCAAGAATTGTTTCTTTGAGGTCCCTTCTGTGAGTTCTGTGGGAAGGGCCCTGTGAATAAGAGTTTACCAGTCTGATGTTCACAGTTCAGCCAAAGTTTGAAGTGTATAAGCACATTTCTAGAGACATGAGATTGGGGGAAGAATCATGGAGATTTGTTATGCAGCTGAATTGCAGATGTCTTTTAAAGGACATCTAATATTTGCCCAATAAAGTTGCCCAAGCCTGTATTCACTTTTCATTGACTATATGAAACTATGGGCTGCCTTCCTGTGCTGGAGACCCATCTCCATGTTCTTGCTTTTACATTGTCATGCCCATCTTCCCATGAGGGTGAGCTGAGGCTCTGTTTGGAATAGCTGTATTGGGGTATGTGAAAAATTTTAAAGGGTTTGTGTTGAGCAGCTTGAGGCATAGCTTCCCATTTTCTTCCAATAGGCTTCTTCACTTCCTCCTCAGTAGTTACCTCATCAGCCAGGTGAGGGCTACAGTGGGAAATTCATTCTATTAATTGGCTGTAGTGGAATCTAATTAAATTGGAGACATTTTGAGCACTGCCACTGTAACAGATTTAATTTCAGTAATAGCAATCAGTTAGAATCAAGCTGTTAAAATGGTTTATTCTGTTTTGCTGGATACTATTGGAAATATTTGCAAAGCACTTTTACTGCATAAACCATCCAGCTTTGTAAGAGACGGGGAGGCTGGATGGGATGCTTTAAATAAGCATGGCTAGCATCACACTAGACCAATTGGTCTGTAGTTGCAGCTTGTGTTTGTCCTGCTCCTGTCCAGCTTCCAGTACCTATGTTCTGTCATTTTAGTCCTGAGGCATATGAGTGGATAAAAAAGTTTAATGATTGCTAACCATTTTAAAATACAGTTCAATTTGTAATCGCACTGAATAATGTTACACTTGCTGTACAGTGTTATACTCATCCATTCTGGTTGTATTGGTATGGATATTTGTCAAGTAACAACTGGAATTAATAAGAAAGGTATAAGCCTTCCAAGATGTGACTGATAAAGTCCATGGTGGCAGATCTGTGAAATCTAAGGGATATTAATTTTCTTTTTTTAGGCCAATTTTTAATGTGGTAAATTTCTCATGAGTGACTACTGTCCTGGTGTCCACTGGTCTGGGCACTCAGAAGCTGTGGGCATCTCCTTGCAGCCAGCACTGAAAGGAGCTAAGTGGCTGAGAAAGCTGAACAGTGTTTCCTGAGCTGGAGAACCAGACAGACAGTTTCCCTAGGGCATCTTCTTCTCCAGTTCCTGTTGTAATAGTCAAAAGGAGGCCAGACAGGAGACCAGGAAATGTAAGCCAGGTTATTAGTATTTAATTGCCCTGCCAATTTTGTCTGGTATCTCATCGCTGGGAGCCCAGGACTGTGTTCTTGGATTTATGCTATTCAAAGCTAAGTTAGCAGTGATAATAAGTTAACGAGAGTCCAAGATATAATCATGGGTAAGCACTCTGATTTAGCTTATATTACTGTGACATGGCTGGATAGCTCGATTGATCCTGTGTCAGCTCAGCTCCCTGTGCTCAGTATGATAAGGCAGAAATATTAACTCTGGCTCCAGATAGTGGGTGCTCCATTCCAAAACCAGGTTAGTGTACATGTAAATTTTAGGTGTAGATTATGCTAGGAACAAGTGTGTTTTGCCACTCACCCTACAGAACTGAATGTTGCCCACAATTGCTGAGGGATAAAATGACAGGTTTAGAGGTTTGGGGGGGGGCATGTTTTATTAATGTCTTTCTATACAACATTTGTTTCTTATGTTTGGGTGGCTTTGGCTTGTGCTTTGTTTGTTCCGAATTGCTGCAGACAATGGAAAAAGTAATATAACTGTTTGCTGTTCAGACAAAGATACTGAATGTACTAACTTCAATAGTTGCTATGTCATGGGAAGGGCTTCATTGTTCTTAAATAACAACAAGTTGTGCTTTCACCTATCATGCTGAAATTCATTGTAAAATGGTGGTAGTGTAATTTTTATATGACTGTATTCTAAAAGGGGACTCACCTGTTCTATTGTAAAAGAGCTGTACTTGGTTGTGGTCTGACAGTCCCTCCTAATACAATCCCTAAAATAAATTATGATGCTTGATGTTTTTAATTTACAGGTTCCTGAAGGGGAGGTAGGACTGAGGGGAGAGACTATGTTCCTGTAATATAATTAGATGGATCCCTTTCTGTTGTCCTTTTTTAGTGTTTCAGTTACCCAAGAGTCATGTCACCCAAAGAAGGTACAACTGGAACAGTGGGATTGCAAAGAACATAGTATCTGGTCATAGATGTGGGCTTTAGTAAGGGAATTGTGTCTTCCACCAGTGCTGCAGTCCTTTCTGTATGTGCTTAAGTTTACTTGTCGAAAAGGCATAAGCATTAATTTCTAATTCTTGGAAGCATTCAAAGAAGTCAAATATCTGGATGGTGCAGAATGGGTATGTTCATTTCATGCTGATTTGTTCCCTGGAATTGCAAATAGATGCATTAAAGCTAACTCCCAAGCTTATTTAAATATTGATGTTCTGGGCTGCTGGCCGGATGACTGGTGTTGGATTGGTCTGTGGGTCAGTTCTGGTGCGTGGGATTAGTCCGTGAGCCCGGCACAGCATGAGGTAAACACAGTCACCATCCAGCACCTGGCTTCAGCCCCATGCCCCGGATTGGGCCCTGTGTCCACTGCTCCAGCCCTACGTGCAAACCTGGTCTGGCACACAAGGCCATATCGTCTGGCCCGTAGAGCTCGGAAATTTGGTGGTAGGGAAATGGTGCCAGTGTTAATTGCCACTGTTTCCTGCTGCCAATTTTCAGACCTTTGGGAAGCCCCATGGGCCAGATGACATGGTTCAGCTGGCTGGATCTGGCCTGCTGACCAGGGGTTAAGCATCACTGCATTAGACAATAGGTCGTGGTTTTCAAGGGCTTCCTACCTACTTTTTAGAATGTGCCTTTTGCATAAAAAGAAAGGGCACGGCTGCATGTGCCACACTTGTTCAACATGAGCATGTGCTATGCTTGTTAAATATACCAACTAATGCTGGATGCAAACAGGACATAGGAAACAGCCCTTCATTCAAATGCAGTGGTACCCACGGTGTGCACCCTACAGACTGTCCTCTTGTTGATATCCTTTCTGATTCATATGTGGACTTCAAAACCAGATCCAGAAAGCTGATGTTTGTCAGATCCTTTCTTATATAGTATCTAGCAAATTCCAGTTATTTTTGACAATACTCTTGATCTTGTTTGCTTTGCTTTACTATGTTTTTTCCTTTGCTATTGACCTTCTTTGAGTGGATGGTGCCTACAGATGAAGCCAATCAGTGTTTTCAGATAGTGTGCAGCCTGTGCAGAGTTCTGCTGCATATTTCACTGATAGGCTGCGTTTTACTTCTATGTCTGTTGCTATGGAGCTGTGTAGATTTGCTTACTTGACCCACTAACACAAGGAGTTATTAAAGGCTCTGTCTCCATGGATACACCGGTATGAAAGTATACTTCACAGAGATTAAAATACACATATCTTTCTTTAAAAGAAAAAGATGCACCATGTTGATATAAGGCTACACTCATGACTGTTCCCAAAGCTTGCTTCCTAGAGATGATCATGGATAATATCACAGTTGAAGGGATTTGGGATACATAACTTTGTATACTGCAGTCACTGCTATAAATTCAGTTGTATCAAGATATGTAGGGGACCTGAACCCCAACATATCTGAAATACTCTTGCCACCAGGGTATTAGGAATTACAGGTTGGGCTCTCTCCATTGCTCCTGCTCCGTTTTGTGTAAATACTTAAATACATACCAGAGGAAGGACTGCAGTCTACGACTCACTTAGCTGAGGTGAGTACCCTAACCACAGAGCTGTAGAGTCAGCTCTGTCTCTTACCCTGCCCCAGTGAATATTTAATTATTTATACAAAGTGGTACAGATACAGCAGGGCAGGCTGAGAGAGCCCCTCCCAGCATACCCAATTCCTGGTGATTAGAGCATACCCAGAAGGAATAGGAGATATGGATTCAGGTCAGGCAGAGCAGGGATCAAACGAGATCTCCTACCTCCCAGGCTCTCATTCTCTTTTTTAGAAAAGAGGAAAACCTGGCTTAGGTACCTGGCTCCAGGAGGGGTTCATAGCTGAGGGCCATATGGCTGAGTGAGATATCTGCCTCTCCAGAGACAGGCACCTACATCTATTTAGGTCAGCTGTTGAGGTGCCTAAGTTGCATTCCTTCATCTGTATTTCATTCCTGTTTGGTTTAGGTAGCACCTTCTTAGGTGGTTTCTGAGGATCCTTTCCTTAGGTGTCTAACTGCCCCATAAATTGTCTGGGGAGCCTGGGCATCTAACTTAGGGTTGAGAATAAATGCTTCAAACCGAGAACTATTATAAAATGGGGCAGGTCAGAAAATGTTTAGATTTATCACAGTCCTTATTGTGTGTATAGATGCACACAGACACACACTATATATATACTTCATTCAACTTTGATTGTAGTTTATACATCAACACTAGGCAGTTAGCAGCAGCAAACTCGGGTTGGTAGCTTATTGTTATCATCAAGAAGCATTCTCTTCAATCATGCAATTTGAAGTAATACTAAAGATCATTACGTTTTGAAGTTCTATATTTCTGGACTAAAGTCTGCAGATCTCTATTTCACTAGTTAAAGCACAGATAAACAAAAGTTTAATTCTGTACAACAGTTAGAAAACACTATACAGTACACTGTAAAACAGATGAGAATATAATTATCCTGGATCAGAATAGAACTTACAACATGATTCATCTGCTATTGAGACAGTGATGTTCAAGTCATAGGTTTTGGCTTCTATTGCCTTCCAAAAAACAGGGAGTTTATGTATGGCTCTGTATACAGTAGCAGAATGGGCTATAATCACAAAGGAACTTACTTAGTGCTCCAGTCCACAACACCTAGGCCATATCCACATGAGCGTGGATGTTTGGTTCCCAGGGGACAATTAGCAGGGGGACACCTTGTGCCACCGCAACATAAGAAGCAGCCCTTCAGATCCAGGGTGGAAAACCTTGTGCTGCTACTAGTTGCCCCATGGGGAACACCAGTGCCATGCACCCTCTGGCCTGCAGCAGGTTACCCCAGGTGGAGTAGGGGAGGTTGGGACCAGCACTGGACTGGCCCCAGCAGCCTTACCTGGGTCCTGGGGGCCTCCTGGGGCTCCTGGGGCCTCCAGCAGCAATCCTGGATCCTGGCCAGCAGCCAGAACACTGCTTCAGCCGGCCAGGTGCTGGTTTTGAGCAATACACATTGCCACCGGAAGAACCACCCCCCTTGCTTTTATTTGCATGGGTTTTATTGATCCTTGGATATCCAGAGAACAGCTGAATGCAGTAAGTGGCACCACAGACATATCTACGATGCCACATACCGCAAAGCTGTGCTCATCTGGATAGGGCCCTATTGTCTGCACGCCTTGCTGTCCAGTGCAGTCCTTAGCTCCCTGTTAAGCTGCCAGTACTATGTATGGAGAGAATTAAGCATCAAACAAGAAGATTCTCAAAAGCCAGCAAGTAGGAAAGCAGGAAAAGCAAGTAGGAAAGCAGGAAAAGCATAAGAGGGGGGAAAGGACTGAGTCCCATCACTAAAAGATAGCTAAGGCACTGCACTCTGGGCTGGAGATGAGCAAATATCTGTGCTCAAGATTTTCACCCATGAACCCCCTCTTCATATTATGCAGAGGCAGGGTAGAATGGCATGTTCGAGATTAACTGGTTCAGAGGCATAAGTTTCGTTGGCGATGTCTGATGAAGTAGGCTGTTTCCAACAGAAGCTTATGCCTTTCCAGGTAGTCTCCAAGGTGCTACCCTCCCCTGCCTTCTGCTTAATTGCAGCCTAACACAGCTAACTACCTCTCTCTTTTCAAGTTAGCTACCTAAGCCAGGTCAGCCCTTTCTTTAAAAAAAAAAAAAAAAAAGAGAGAGGGGACCTGAACAGACAACACATTTATACCAGTGTGATCAGCCTGATCTGGGGTAAAATTACCCTTGCAAGAATCAGTGGTTGAGCCTATTCATAGAAGTAGCCCCAGTTGAGCACTTTTTTGCCTGCACCGGTGGTTCTCAACCAACATGCTGCAGCAGTCCAGGCATCATGAGACCCTGCAGGAGTGCCGGCGTCCGGGTGCTACCACCACTGCAGCCCATGTGCCTTGTGCAGAGGAAGATCAGGAAGGAACTGCAAAAGCTGTGGGTGCTCCTGCCTTCATCAGGTTTTATCACATCAGCCTTATGCAGGTAGGGGCACCCACTTCTGCTGCAGCCCTTATGGGTCTGACACCAAATACATCTTCTGGAAATCAAGGCACACAGGGCAGTTCCACCGAGTGGTGGCAGTGGTGCGGTATCCCAGGGAAACACGCGGGCTGCTGCACCACTGTTGGCATGAGGTGGAAATTTTTCCTGTATTAGATTCATGTAAGCAGGAGCACTGGTTCCTGTAACATCCTCTTCCTGATCTGGTGCTGCACAAGGCACATGAGGCAGTTCACCTAGCAGTAGTGGCAGCCCCGGTTGAAGATCACTAAGGTAAGCTGAGGCAGTGCAACAGCGGTTCT